AGAAGTTAAAATAGGAGAGTTTTATTTGGACATGAAGATCGAGAATACTGCCTGCGAATAAATGTTTGATGAATGCAGCACCTGACTTATATCAAGTATTCCATTATTATTCAAGGGAACGAAAGGGACACTCACAGTTCCCACCCAAGATATGTCCAGAATGCAACCTTTCAGTTATGCCCCCTCTGATGGAAACACTGAAAGGGGAAGGAAAAGAGGAAGGGGAGGAGGAGGAGGAGTGAGGGATAGACGCAAGACTATCTGATGTCTCTTAGTACCTGCAAGCATAATTCTGCTTGACAATGTGGCTACCTCCTCCATTTGACACAGTCAGTCAGTTATAAATAGATTGCACCAAGGCGGAGGTGAACAACAGCGTTTTGCTATTGCTTGGGCGCTGTGATTAAAAATAGCATTCCTCTTATTCTTTGGTTAGTAGCTTCAGTTCTCTCGCTCTGCCTCTCTCCCTACCTCGAAGAGTCGTGCATGAGTGAGTGGGCAAAAGTGCTTACTGGTGCAAGAGGGCTGTGCATCACATCCACAAGCATCACGTTGAGTGTAGACATAACATCAAGCAAAAGAGGAGGAAACGCTGAAACAAGATCTTCCAGATGGAGCAAATACCAGTTGGGAAGACTACAGCGGTAAGAAATCAACCTGTTAGAAGTTCATCCTCGCAGTGTAAAATGCTTTAAACGGTTAAGCACCTTCTCACACCCTTCCCTTTCTATTCCTCCTCCCAACCCTCCTAAGCAGCCAACGAGAGCAATACTGAGATTCCTGACACGTTCACTGCGCAACGACACAAATACGTGACACGTATTCTCTGTCCATTTTTAGTGATGCAAATGTGGAGAAAAGGAGGAACTACAATGAATAGGACAACTGACAATATAAAGTGGCTGACATTGTCCACCTCCGCAGAGGAAGTTGGAAGCAAAAAAGGTCCCATTAACAGGGGACGAAACACTGAGAAAATCCTTCAGTGGATTCTGTGATTAGACAGGCTTTTCCATGAAGTGGCTTTGCTGTTGAACACCATTCTATCTGATGCATTGCTGGTCACATAAACTCTGGCAGGAAGGGGAAAACACAAAGAAAAATCCTCATGTTTGCAATTAAAAATACTCCCATCACAAAATGTCTCTTGAATGCTCATTGCGATAACAGCATGGATTGGGAGGAAGAAGAAGGGACTAGAATGTGGATTGGGGGTGGAACTGTAGGTAAGTGAGACTAAATGGGAGTAGATGGGGCAAGGAGTCTGCAGCACTGTTGTCGAGTAAGACTGTCTTTGATTAGTTCATATTTGCAGCCAGCAAAGGGAAGTTACCCTGCGTACTTCCCAAAGGACAGTGGCAGCGGAGTTGGCCAAGCAGTAGCCTTCTCATCAAATTAACCGCACTTTCCACCTCGCCTCACTTCACCCCACCTCCATCTCCGCCTCGGCTGCCAGACTGCTAATAAGCCACCGAAAGTAGCGCTTCAACTGATTTGGAAAGTCGTGTGATCTACTCACGTTATTTAACTAGCACGTGGGCACAGCAGCGCAGTCAAGCCGGCGCCTTGCACAGAATGTTTAATCGCAAACCATCTTGCTTTGCAAACATCAACTCGCCCATGCACGTAGATCCGAGATGGCTAAATCAAACAGCCTCTAATCTCATCCTCCTGCACACAAATCTGGCCTCTTAGGAAGGTTCACACAAGGCTCAACTTCTAAGTTTTCCTCCAGTTCAAATGCTTTTAAGTGTCCAACCTGACAGCTACGGTGAATGAAAGAGCACAAACATACTCACTACCAGCATCACCCATGCGTCACACATGCATGCCATGCGTACTTCATCTGGCTATGCTGAATGCTGGTTGAAGTAAATCGTATAAGGCAGAGATTGGTTGGATATGAAAGAGAAAGAGCTAAGAGTGGATGTAAAATGATGCCCTTGACCTGGTGGCGCCCAGCTTACAAAAGTCCTACCTTGAATTTCTCGTCCTATTAACAATGAGGTCCCCGATATATACTACCTGCAAGCATGAAGTAGACTATTGTTTTAACCACCCCAAATTTCTCCAAAAATTTGGTCACCCAAGGCAATAAAGCCCGCATTGCATTTGCAGTGAAAAATTGCTCTAAAAAACCCGATGATTATTAGCAAAAATGCAGTGAAAAGAAAAGAAATGGAGAAATAAGGCAAATTTACTTTTAATCTCAAATTGGCCTATTGCATAAACCCCATTTCTGGATGGATTTAGGGTGTGGCCTCACCTGTTACCCAATTTTTTTACCTTCACCGTTACTACTTACACATCCAACCACCTGCACAATATACGTGACATCGGCCACTAAGAAAAAGAAGCGGAGGCAGAACGAAACCATTAAAGCCGACGTTTATTTTCATCCAACATTGGCAGGAATAGCATTTAAAAGTGGCAGTTATTGAGTCTCTAGATGATGTTCTCATTGTCATTTTCCTCCTTGGTGATCCGTTGACAAGCATTTCCCATTTCTGTGGAACAAAAGCCTTGTTGGAATTCACACTTACAACTGCATTGTTTGCAAGAAGCACTACTTCTCATTCTCCACCTTCGGGAACAGCCACTTGCTCTACTACTCATTCAGTTGGACAGATGATCCCGTCTGCTATACCAACGCAATAACTCTACCCACCCTCAAAATTACACGGAAGATAATTTACATGCTTCAGCAGATGAGGATGTGACACTGGGAATAGGGAAAGAGTGAGGCAAATAGAGAGGGAGGTGTCACCTCAACAATGCCCTCATTCTGTGTGTATCCCCGGTGTCTCTTTGCAGGTTTATAAGTAATTTTTTTACCACTTGGAAATCGTACGTGAAGTACATTCGACAACTGGCAAATAGGGCTGAGATGAGAAACATGCATATGTTTCCCCCTAGATTACCTATTCTTTTGCATCGAAACTATGTCTAACACAATGGATTCTGGTCAGACAAGTGATGGCAGATTGTCTCTGCCCTTTTGCCACTCCCACATATCATATTTGACTTCCGAAAGATAGTTGTAAATTGCCGTTAATTATTTTTTCGACCCATTAGAACAAAATCGTCTGTAAGGCAAGGAACCAATTCGTTTTAACCGCATTCGCCACCACCGCCTGTCCCATAGCCTAGGAGACACCATCACTTCCCAAAGAGAAGACAACTCCTGACCGCCTTTCTACACCTGCCCACAAAAAAAACCTCTTTTGTAAGATCTCTCAGTACTACACCACCTGATGTCTCCCCTTCAGCCAATCCTCCCTACTCAAGGGACTGAAATCAGATGTGAAATTGAAAAAACGAAAATTTTGCAATGATGGCAAAGACGGTGGTTATTGCCTTCCTTCTCTCTGCCAATGTCTGGAAACAGTTTCATCCGCCTAACCGGACTTTTGCATATTAGCACTATTTTGTCCTTTTTGAAAAAAAATTTACACTTGGAAGGACAAATAGCCCTCTGGCGAATCGAGAGGCGATAACGTGACAATAAATGTTTCTGTCTAGCCAAATGCTCTCCTGACCTACAGAACGAAAAACTATTATACTGGAATGAAATTGGTTGCAGATGGTACTAGAGGGAAGGGTAGGTAAAAATAACCATCTTTCCTACCCCACTTATAGTCAACAGGTGGATCTGCCTGCCTACCTGTCTGTGTCTGTCTGTCTGGGCAAAATCACCCACCTCGTTGAGTCCGCTAAGACTGGGCACCAGAGCTCAAAAGCTCTCTCCCTAATGCGAGAAAATCACACCACTCCCGATAGCAATCATTACAAACTAATAAGGAGAAGAAGTCGTGAAATAAGAGAAGTCAGAA